ACGTCCTAGCACCCAGGGTGGCCCAGACCCACTGCTGATGCAAAACTGTGTTCATTCCTTCCCTCAATAGGGCTGTCTTTGGCCAGGTCTTCAGAAGGCTCCAGATCTATCCCTGGCTGCCTTCATTGAGTCTGGTGTCTGTCAGCACAGAAAGAAAACCAATGTCACAGCCCTCAGATGGTGAGAAAGGCTGCCCAAACCACCTACAGCCCAAGTTAGAGAGAACTGTGAGCCGTGAGCTGAGCTCAGCATCTGGTCTTTTTTTTTTTTTCAGCCTCTGGCCTTTTAACCCTCAAGTCACTCCATTTGGTTCAAGATGGAAGTGCTTGTCCCTCAGGGGGCTCAGTGGGAGTGATGATCCCAGCACTAAGCACCCCAGCAGGGCAGCTCCAGGACTACCTGGGGGGGGGGCACTTCCGCTACGTTTAAAGGACAAGCACCTTGAGGAGTTCCTGGAGAAGGAAGCAGAACAAGTTCCACTGGAAGTCAGTAAGAAGTTCTTAAACCTAGAACAGGTTTTCCTTACAGTCCTGGGAAACAGTGCGGTGGTCCATAAACAGGAAGGGAAATCCCTGACCTGCTTCTCAGAGTAGACTCCATCAGGCAACCCAAAGAGAAAGACGCAGACACCCAGCAGCTAGAAAACACTAGCTTTATATAGAACTCCCCTGGGGCAGAGGGTGGGTCAGGTGCCCGTCTCTACCTCCACCACTTCTGCCCAGGCACTAAAGGCCATGTCCTTATGGATGAGCACCAGGCTAGAAGTGGGGCCTGGTTCCTCAGGTACCACAAAGCACTTATCCTGGCTCTCAGAAATGGTGACCTCAAAGACGTCCCGGGCTGGGGAGACGTCCTGTTCCCCGCAGGTGTCTAGTTCTGGCTCAGTCTGCAAGAGTACCACGGTGGGCTCAGAAGCAGCAGCAGGCTGGTGACTGAGCTGGTGCCGCTTGAGGCTTTGGGGGAGGGTGTAGCCCATGCCACAGGTGGGACAGCGGTAGGGCTTGTCGGCCAGGTGGGATTTGAGGTGGCGCCTCAGCTTGGTAGCCAGCGTGTAAGCCCGGCCACACTGGGGGCATGAGAAGGGCCTCTCCCCTGAGTGCAGACGCTCATGAGCACGCAGTGTATGTGGGTCTCGAAGGGCCTTCCCGCACACGGGACACAAGTAGGCCTCCCCAGTGTGCGAGATCAGATGGCGCCGCAGCTCAGGCAGCTGCGGAAAGGCGTCAGCACAGTGCGGGCAGCGGTAAGGACGCTCCCCTGTGTGCAGCCGCAAGTGCCCACGCAGGTTGCCCCGCTGGCGGAACGCCCGGCCACAGTGCGGGCACAGGAAGGGCTTTTCGCCCGTGTGGAGCCGCATGTGGTTCCGCAGGGAGCCCTGGTTGGCCAGGGGCCGCCCACACACGGGGCATGGGCACGGGGCAGGGGGAGCTGGCACCTGGTGGGTCTTGCGATGCAACCGCAGGGAGGGCCGGCGGGCAAAGGCCTTGCCACACTGGTCACATGCAAAGGGCCTGGCACCTGAATGTACCACCTGGTGCTCTTTGAGGTCTCGCCGGGTGCCATAGGCCTTGTCGCACTGTGGGCAAGGAAAGGGCCGCACCCCACGGTGGCCCAGCATGTGGGCTTTGAAGCTCTCCTCCGAGCTATAGCTCTTGCCACACTCAGTGCAAAGGAAGGGTTTGTGGCCCGTGTGCACAAACGCGTGCTTCTTCAGGTGGCACAGCTGCAGGAAGGCCTTGCCACACTCCCCACACCGGTACCGCCGCCTCTGTTTCGGGGAGCTTCCTGCTGGGCCGGCAGGGCTCCGCAAGCGTGCAGGGAAGCCTACCGGCCCCTGCTGTTCTCCCGCCTGCTGGGCCCTGGGCTCCGAGGTCTTTTCTCTGGGTGGGCACTGACCACTGGGGCCATGTAACTTCTTGACCAGGTAAGCATGCAGCTGGTTGCCCCTGGCAGAAGGGGAGCAACCGGCCTCACTGCTCTCTGGGCCCTGCTGGGGCGCAGAGCTGCTCGGAGGTTCAGGTGGCACCTGTGTCTGGGGTGGGTCCTCCTCCTCCATGCCGCCATCCTGAGGGGGCAGGCCGAGCGGTTGGCTCTCCTTGGAAAGTTGATCCTGGGCTTGGGGCTTAAGTCCAGGGCTTCCCATGCTCTCTGCCTGGATGCTGGGGGTTGGTGGCTGGTGACCAGGATCTGCAAGGCAAGAGTGGGGTGCTGGGGTCAGGAGAAACTGTAGCAGGTGGTGGCAATGCTGTCACCAGGAAATTATAAGAATATGCGTCTCTTCCTACTCAGCCCCTGAACTTCAGCAGGAGCAAGAACACCAATCTCTTCCTTGGAACATGAACCACATGCTCTGCTTATCTTCATGTCCGGTCTCAGGTGCCTCCTGGGGAAGCACTCTTGGGAACCATGGTTCTCCAAACCTCCGGAGAGTCATGGAGAAGGCTATCCCAGAGGCCCTATTCTCCTTCTGGAGACACACACTTAGGATGAATTAGGCCACCACCTCCTCACCTTATCTTGTCTGAAAATAAAGGAACCTCCACCCCCACCCCAGGTAGAAGAAACATAAGAAATTGGAAACCTTATAAACAGCTTGCTGTCTTCATCAACATGACCTTACTATTCCAGAGAACTTACTCAGGAAGATAAATACCGATACTGTTCGTTCTAAGGAAAAGACCCATCACTCTGCAATAGAAAGCATCAAATGACAAGTTATACCCCCAAGACTCTCTGAGCCTCTTGCCTGAAAATTCTAGCCTGGAGGTCCATGGATACTAAACGATTATGTCATGATCCTTATTCAATCCCGATCAAGCCCCGCCCCCATTCCACACTGGAAGACCCACCTTATACCAGACTTCAAAATTTCAATAAATATTCAGGCTTCACCCTTTCCCCTCAGAAAACCTACTAAGACTGTAATGTTCTCCTTTATCTCTGTGATTCTCAAAGCTTTGCTCTGTCTTATCAACAGGTTGTTCTGGTGATAATTTGGGAAGATAGCATCTGTTTGCCACATACCTGCCCAAGGTTCTGCTGCATCTTGCCCTGGGGAGTCCACCTCCCGTTGGACAGCAGAGTTCACTTCTGTCACCACAGCCATGGCTGCCTCTTCTTCTAGCCCGGGCTGGGTGGGGCTCAGGCCCGCAGAGGGAGGCTGGGGCCACAGTAGCAACTCAGAGCCTGGCAGTACGACCTGGTACACCTGCAGATGGAGCTTCTCGCTGACCCGCACCAGGGCCACGTTCCCCTCACCTTCCAGCCTGCCCCGCTGCACCAAACTGCAAAGCAGAGGAAGAGCTAGCTCAGGAGACCCTCTTCAAGTGGCCCTCCCTAAAGTCCCAGCTTCTGGGCAGTCCGAGTCCTAAAGACCCCATGCCTTTGGAACACTCACTGCAAAAACTCACTGGGTGGGGAATTACAGTGGGCTTCTGGTTCCGTCTCATGCCATGACAGAAAGCCTCAAAAAGGACCATCTTCACTACATACTCTCCTGTAACTTACCTGATCCAGCCTGAACTCTGCTCACAAGCACACACGTCTCCCCATGGGCCTAGTGACACGTCCTGAAATAAACCAATAAGAGTCCTTCTCCCATGTGTTTGGGGGGACCAGGGTGGGGGAAAAAAGGGATGTAACCTCTCCTGAGACAGATCTAATACGAAGCCCCTGGAAGGTTAATGTTCTGGTTCTGCCTCTACAGGACTGTGTTGTCTGATGTTTCATCCAGTAAAGACCAAAAGACTATCCCCCTCACCTCCCTCCCACTGTGTGGAGAATTACTAAATTGAACACATTACTGCCTTCCAGTGAGTACCAAACAAAAAAAGGAGTTAAGAGGTACATCATCTTTTAAGACTTACTATGCAACCAAACCCTTTACCTGCACTATTTCATCTATTGCTCCAAATAGCCCTGGAAGATTACAATAAAACGGCCATGCCTTTACCTTACAAATGAGTTAAACGACACACGTCATTTCATTAGCTAGGTGACAAAGCTGGGATTTGATTCCATGGCTTTTTAATCCTAACCACCTTTGCTCTTGACTTTCATCACTCCTGACACTATACTAATCTAGCTTTCAGCACCTTTCTGCACCTTGATTCCCTAACTACTGCAAGTGAGGGGAAGAGACAATCCTGGAGAGAAGGGGCAAAACTATCACCTATCTCTTGAAACACCCTGCTTCTTCTAACTGAAGAGCTGTCCAGAAGTGGCTGAACCTCTTCCACAATTTCAGTCACGGAGAAGACAAGTCCTATTCTTCAATACCTCCTCCTGCCGCGGTTTCACTCCTTCATCCTTCCGTTCCGATACAGACTCCTCTTCCAGCGGCCCCCAGAGCAGTCCCGGCTGCAGGGCTTCCCCGACACACCAGACCCCTAAGCGCTGCTCCTCGGCGAGTGAAGGGCCAAGGGCCAAGCCCCGGGGGAGGCTCTTTAGAGCCAGGACGGCCCGGGTCGCCCCGGGCGGGAAGTCCTTGAGGCCCTGAGCACAGCCTTGTCCAGAAGGGATCCATCCCAAGTCCGGGCCCAGGCGCGGGTCAGGGGCTGCAGGGAGATGGGGAAGCAGTGAGGGGGCGACCCAATAGGTCGTGCGGGTGGGGATAGGTGCAAGAGGAAACCGCAGATCCGGCTAGGCCTTGGCAGTCTGAGGGATCTAACGGCTCTAAATGGGCCGCTCGGAAGTTTGAGGGGGTTCTAGGACGCGGAAGCCCCCAGAGACTTCTAAGGGCACCGGAGGAGGATCCCGGGTTAGGGAAGAAAAGGGCCTGGGGTAGAGAGTCGACCAGGCAGGGAACGTTAGGTCTATCTAAGGCCAAGGCCGAGGGTCGGAGACACCGCAGGTCACTAACCGAACCGCAGTCTCTCGCCCTCGGAGAGCAGCTCCTCCGCCTCCTCCATCCCTCCAGAAAAGCCTCCCTCCGCCGGAAGTGAGTGTTCTCTTCTCCGCTCCCCCCGGAAACAGTTATCGGCTTCCAAATTTCCTGTCAGGAAAGAATGCTAAGAGCCAGACTCATCGGTGCACAGACCCGGGAGTTGGGGAATACCGACGAGGCAAAACTCCGTCCGAGAACAATAAGAACCATAGGATTCCAGAGGACCACCAGGGATTCCAGCATCAGAGAAAGCGGAACTAATTGTTCCAACCACCTCCTTTTGGGAGGGACGGGTCGGACACTTACGCTGTCCTCCCCCCCCCCCACCGGCACTTGCGCCGGCACGTGCAGGAAGTGGGCGGGGAATCCTGGAAAGCCATATTTGGACCGGGCAGCGAACCGGAAGTGGGTTGGAGGTGTGGCGGAAGTGGTTGGGGAGAGGAGCGCGGGAGGGGGCGGTTCCCGTTCTACCGTGGAGCCGGATGTTTGCCGAGCTTTGACAGGCGTGGCAGAGGGAGCAGTGCCCGACCACGGTGAGCTGCAGGGCGCGGGGTCTTCCTGGGTGGGGAGGGGGGGAGGTGGGAAGGAAGAGACTAGACAGGTCACCGGAAGGGTCAGGATCCGGAGGGGGATGATCCGAGCGGATCCGAGGGGGGGAGCAGGAGTGGGATGGGGCCTAGGAGCCTGACTTTCCCACGGCAGGGATTCAGCCCCACTCCCGGGTCTGCAGTGACGAGACTTCATCTCCTTCGCTGCTTTTCTCCTGCACTTCCCAGGGAAGAGTCCAGGTCAGATCGCAGTCATCGAGCAAGCCCATGAGAAGGGGAAGTCTCTGATCCGATCTGGCGAAGCTCTAAGAACAAGAAATTTGGGGGAAGTATTCCAGCCTGCCACTAACTAGGCCACGCTTTCATTTCTATTTCTTAATCCCTGAAATGGGATAATTACACCTGGTACGGGTTTTGCAAACTGTGAAGCTCTGGACAAATGCACTTGTAGTTGAAAGCCTTGCTATTGTATCGTGGGATTTGCATTTTCGCAATGCTGGGGCCCCAACTGGGAGGGTGATCCCAGTGCCAGAGAATACTATTTCAAATTGTTATCTCAGCTCTTCGTGAAGATTAGGGGAGAGGCTTTACTTTGCCTTTTTATGAACCCTCTCTGAACCTTCAGAATCACATGAATGACAGTCATTTAGAGAAATGTTGAGGGATTGACCTGCATCAAAAGACCACCTTATAAAGACATAGATTAAAATCTTGACTCTGCTGTATGACCTACCTAAACAATTTGCTTATTTTTTCTGGTCCTCACTTTCCTCAAACAGTAAAATGGGCTTAGTAGTATAAACCTCACTGGTGCTGTTGTGAAGTTAAAAAGTAATTTGTCTACTTTATGGTGCTATATAGGCCCTCAACAAATACTGGTTGCCTTCTCCATTTAGGAGATGACCTCATTCATTCAGTCATTCAACAAATGAGAGCATCTATGTGCTGAATAGGTCAGGGATTCTTTTTTTTTTTTTTAAAGATTTTATTTATTTATTTGACAGAGAGAGACACAGCGAGAGAGGGAACACAAGCGGGGGAGTGGGAGAGGGAGAA